AAATAACAAAGCAAACTATAAACATAAATACAAAAGTGGAAAACACAGCAAAACTATATACATAAATGCAAGTGTAAAAGGCCACTAAGGCCAGCTGCAGGTGCCGTTCCTGCTGGGCCAGATCTGCACTGTGCTTCTTCCTCAGGACTGTGAGGTGCTCCTCTCCTCGTTTCCTCTTGCCTGGAAGACAATAAGAAAAGATAAACCTTTTTTAATCACCGTAGGGAAATTCAGGTGTTATAGCAGCGACAGCAATAAGAATGAAAAACACAGGACAGGTACAGGTCACATAAGGATATAAGAATAACACATATAAGTATAAACAGAACAACAGTAAGGATGAACTAAAGACAGTTCTGGCCCAAGATGTTTACAATGATTGTGAAAGTGAATTACATTATGTCCAGCCTGTTCATAATGAATATAAATATATACAAACATTTATGAGTATGTACAAATATACAGTCATGAAGTAAATGGATAATTATAAATGAATATAAGTATGAATAAATATGAGACCAGTTTAAAGTGCAAAAATCTAAAACAAAGCACAGTCCAAAATAAGTGGAAAGCAGTGCAGGTTCATATGTATATGCACAATACTTAACAATGAAGAATATACAAGAATATATTAGGATGTCACAACATGTTTTACTAGCTGCAACATTAATAGTGATTCTTACTACTTTTACTTTTGGTACGTTACTTTACTTGTAACAGAGCATTTCCACACAGTGTTATTGCTTATTTTACTTCCTGATGATTGTCTATTTCTTACTTAACTCTAGAAAACTGGACGTAAACAATGGTACATATGGTGTTAGCAAACAATAGCTCTAGCTAATGCTATCTCTGCTAACCGTAGCTCTTCGGGGCTCCATAAAAGCATGGGTTGTCGAACATAAATGTCAGGATAAAATAGGCTTGTTTGTTAGAAGTGAGCTTTACAATAGATAGGGACACAACGCTTTCAAGCAAAGAACAGAGCGTAAGCAAAAACTTACCATCCTGCATGGATAAAGGACGCCGTTGCCGAGTCAAGGCGTCGTTTTGCGTTGCGCCGTCGAGCTCCCGCTGTATTTTTTCATCCGCAACGAGATGGAGTAACGTCTGTACCTCGTCAAACGACCACGGCGTGTTTCTTTTGTTGTTGCTGCCATTTCTTTATGGATTGGTTGACGGTAGCTTGTCTGTTTTAAAAAAAATTGTGCTTATGCTTAGGGACTGTCTCGCGCAACAATTGTGACGATTCTCTCTGACCAATCAGCAGTCGGGAGTGTTTACGTCACTGGTTTAGCATATTCAGCTCGGTTGTTGGCTCGGTAGGAACCTCGATTTTGGAGGGCCAGAAAAGAAGTGAAAACGTACCCGTGAGCCGGAACTACCCCTGGTGGAAAAGCAGGAAAAAAACGTACTAAGCCGTGCTAGGTCCTGCAGTTGAAAAGCGACTATTAGTCATTATGAATAAAATGTTCAGGAGAATATAATGTATTTGTATATTGGCCACATTCACTACCTCAATAGTGCTTTATTCCTTTAAGAATACATATTACATACAAATACTTACTTTAATATCAGAATTCACTTCTCAAGAGCAGTTTCCTTATTTATGGTTTATTTGACTGTAGTTTGAATTGCATGAGGGTGCACGCTTTGCCAAAAATTCTGGGCTCATACCTATACTGTTTTAAAAAAAAAAGTAAGATATGGTCGATAGCTGATTTCATGGTTTTTTGTTGTTGTTTTTTATTTTATAGTTATTTAAGTGTTTGCTGCCGTTTTCAGAAAATGGCATGTCCTTATTATTAATAATCCACAACTAACTACTAAAGCAGCAAGAATATGTGTGAGAAAAAAATAGTTTGATCTCAAAACTGAAATAACCAAAACTTCTGCAACAACATAGTGTGCTCTTGTAAGATCCCATGACTCATGGTATGAAACTAATCGGGGAAATACGTCTCAGTTTTTTTTTTTTTAACAGTTTCAACAATTCAGTCATTTCATTAGCTACTCTTTTATGTATGGACATATTTAACCAGAAAGCTATATATAACCTGTGTATTTGGATATCCATTAAAACCACAACCCTATTTCCACCCTCACACCTGGTACACACCTTGTTCTGCTCGTACTTGAACGGGATCTTGAGGTTCTCCGTTGCCCGGATCATGGCCTGCATCGAGGTGAAGATGTTCTGGTAGACCAGTTTGGTGAAGCCCTTCTTATCCTCATCTGTGTAGCCGGACCCGTGGATTATTCTCATCTGCTTGATGAAGGTGCTCTTGCCACTCTCTCCAGTACCTGAAAAGAAGCAAGAAGACAAAGGAATTAGAAGACAATTTCAAAAGGATCATCAATAGATACAGGATATATACAATATTGCGAATAGGTATGAAAATGGTCCTCCAACCGCTAACAAAATAGAACGTTTTAGTATCCTACAGTGCTGCAATCAACTGAAGAGAACATATTTAAATGATAAACTGTTTGCAGATACATTTGGAAATGGAAAGACAGTTAGTGGGTGTGTCCATAAAGCCTTTTCTGTGGTATTGTCCCTCTATATTTGGTTTTCCATTGGGAAAATTTGTGACTACTACAGTAACCATGTCTTGAAAACATTTCACCGCTCTCACCACCAATGCATGACGTACTCTAATATCCCCTTAGCTTTTAATGATCTACTTGAGCAGTTATCTTTTAGTTTGTCAAGGTTTGGGAACATCAGCGACTTTCTGAGAACTTCAGAGATTTTGAACGAGAAATGTGGGAGAAGCAACAAAAAACGCTGTGCCCAGGAAGCCACATAATGCTCCCTCTTCAATGGAAACAATTAAAAAAGTTGATTCTCTCTGGACACCCAGCCTAATGTAGAACCTTCTACATTGGGCAAAAATAACAGTGAGAATAATCCATACTTATTGTAGTAGAAAAACGACAGAGAGCAAACCACCTGTGGTTTTTAAGAAGTTCTTCACGGTCAGAAAACAATAACCAAGATTCTCAATTTTTCTTATTTTTATACAATGCTTATACAAACGGTTGAGTAGAAATGCATCCCATCATGCCCACAGGAAGTGAGCCAGACCTCAATGCCAATGCAGTCTCCATCTTACTATGACAGGACGCTGAAATGGTCATTCTTCCATATTGTGTCAACTCTTGGTTTACTTGAAGCTAAATCTTCTGTATGATTTGTATGTTATTGTATTTATCAAGTAATACATAGATAACTCTACTGCATAGTATATAGAATACACAATATAACAATAAATAAGGACACTATGACACACCCAACTACTTCAACTTAAATGTAATATCATAGGATAAGATGCAACATTTGGTTTTACATAATCCTTGTATTGAAGGCTCTAGACGAGAATTTAAATCAAAAGTTGGAAATGTATTTTGACCAAAGTGTCTTTAGTGATTTCGGTCGAGTCACTGCCTCTTGTCATCTTGGTTTTAGTGTCCCCGAGATATGCATTGTTACAAAGCGATGTAGTCATTGTTTTGGCTGCGGCTACAGTCTTGGTAAGTGAAGCAATGCCCCATGAGTAACCACATGAGGGCTGATGGGCTCAACATAGAGCCGGGTAAACCAAGTTCACTCCTCCAATTTTGTATCACAGTGACCATGCATATGCACACATGCATAAACACACAGATGGTGTTTTTCCATACACATGTGCAGGCTGGGCTTGACTCGGTTTGTTGAGGCACGTCAGCCGAGCTATCTGATTGAAGGTGGTCTACCTGATCAATGGTTATCACTGGTGGTCAAACGCATTTTGTTTCCTATAGATTCTTAATATATATTCCCTGTCATGTTTGGCGCTTACTCTTCCCTGCAATATTCGTAGGATTGTTGCTCTTGTGATATAGCCACAAACAAAACTAACTTAGAGATAAAAATGCATCATAATTAATGTATATTTTTCACAATAAAAGTCCTCTGTATTTAAAAGATCAGAGATGTCATCATTTGTACGCCAACCCTCAGGTTCGAATCGTTCCCTCGATAATAAGTCAATGGGACCGTTCCATTGGATTTTTGAAGCTCTGTGGGATTACATTTTGTTAACAATACTTTCCCATTTGTTTAGGAAGATAATATTCACAAAGGAGCACCACTTATGAGGCAGAAATGAAATCCTCAAAAAGGAAAATGCTACGGTTAAACCTCGCCACGGTTGAAGGACTCCACGTCACCAGGGCTAAGTAGAAGGCGCTCGTTTCGTACTCTGATTTAGCCACTTGTTAGCAACCAGCTCTAAGACACAAAACCTTAAAAGTGTGTGTAGGTTTAGGGAACAGTGTAAAAAATGTCTTGAGCTTGTGTTAAATGCCTGTAAAAACATTTGTGGTTAACTAAACACTTTGAAAAACCCATGTACCCAAAACTAGGGAAGTCTGGTGCTAAAATGCTAACTGGTTTCAGGGATTCAGGACAGATCGCTGCACAGAGACTTCTCTGGTCTCATGGACACAATTTATGTTACGCTCGCAAAACAGGCTTGTTTGACTGTGAGAAGGGAGGGGGGGGTCGGTAGTGTTTGGAGAGACTTTGGAAATGGTCTCCGTCAGGCGCGGTCAGCATGCATAAACTGGAAATGGAAATCGTTTAGGAAAACCATGCTATGGCAAAATAGAAAAACTGTGTCATAGAAAAAAGCCTGCTTTAACAATACATTTAAGAAAAACAGAACCACAATCCCTTCTCCCAGATGGCTTCCACAGCAGGTTCTGCATATTTTTGAATGGGCATTTCCACCACTCCAGGCTTAGTGGATGAAATCGACTTTTGTATTCTGGTCTCAGCAAGTTTAAAAAGGGACGTTTAAAAGACAAGGCAGGTTGTAGTCTCACACAAACTCCACCTCTAGTATCACAATGCAACTCATTCCTCCTCCCTTACACCCCCATATTCCACCACCTAGTATCTCCTCTACTCCACCCCTCGTCTCCTAACATTCAGCGTGAGTCACTTCAGCTTCATGCTCTCTCTGATTTCTATCTTCCACTCCCGTCTTTGTTTCTAATGATGTCATCTAGAGCTGCTACTGTGAAATATTTTCATTATAAATTTATTTCAAGATTAGTTTTTCATACAAATCAAATTATTCTGTAGCTTAAGTTGTCTGTTTAAATGTATAAAGCACATGATGTAGAAACTTGTTTGATTTAAATTAGCAATGTTTGATATTTTAAGGGATATTTGGAAGTTGCGATTAATAATACAATACATTTTATATTACATATCGACAAATTGCTTGCAGAATTAACAACAATATTTTAAACAATTTTCCTTTTTACTTTGATGAAGAGAATGCTTTGTTAAAATGTTTATTTAATATGTGTCTCACCCACCATTAATAACCGTTAAGTACAGCTGAGGGTGATCAGAAAGTCAGTCAGTGAAATGGGTAAAAGGAAACAACAACAAATAAACTTAAAGATTGGGCACCATCTGAAAAATACAGCTATTTACTATTATTATTGACTGATATTGCAATAAGGTGTGATTTGTATTGATATCTTTTACATATTTTGCCTCAACCAACTATTGCAATTTTGATCACATTTGGATTAGATTATGCAGCCAGACAAAAAAACAAACGACAAGTGATGCTGATAATGTTTACAGCCGTACTGTCTGGGCAGGACAGTAATGGCTGATTAGATCATTTGATTTGGTTGATAAGGTGCAGCTGCTCTTCCCGAGGCAGAGGAGAACAAATATCTTGCATGGAGACGAGAGTAAAGTTTGACTGTCGCTAACAGAAGAGCCCGGTTCAGTGCACAGTGAAGGAGGACCTCTCCCTGATCACAGCTCAGCCAACAGCGGAGTTTCCCCTTCAGACACAGTACGTCTTTCAGAGAGGGACATAAATAGCGATTGTCAAGACACAGCACTGGAGAGTTCACTTTCTCATTGACTAAAGAGCTGAAGGAGAAGGGAGGGTGATACTGGGGTGTGAGGGAGTGAGACAAGAAAAAGCGCATTCTCTCTGCTTTCTGAGCAGAGAAATGAAGGGCGTTAACAGAGGATAGATGCATCAGCTTGTTGTGTAATTGAACATCTGTGTGTGTATTCATGTGTACTTAAAAAACACAGGAGCAAGGCAAGTGACAGATCGAAAAAGACAGAAGGTCTAGTATGCTGTACGGATGGTAAAGCCCAGAGGCCAGGGTGTTATGAATGTTATTTAGCTGCGTAAATGAAAATCAACATGTCTTGCAGGCATGATCAGCTTAATTCAACAGATCCTATTGTTCTCGCTGCCTGACTGGAAAACCCAGCAGAAGCATTTCTCACGGACAAGCTACTGTACATTCGCTGGAGCTGCTCCTGAGGGGTAATGCTAGTTCCCATGGCAACTCCAGTGTGGACTCATAAAAACATGGCAGAGAGCACCAGCTGATGGGCCCAGCTGATTGGCTTCAGTACGTCTCCACAGAGCACAGTCAAACATTTCTTAATCCCACAACATCCTCAGCCAGGACGCCAGGATCCGCCTGTGGGAATTCAAAAGTTATAAAAGCAATGGACCTGGAGATTTCAATCTTATAAGCATCTTGTTCTCGTATGTATGAATGTGTGTTTTTTAAGCAAGATAACATTCACTTTTTTTAAAAGATGTATATATAAGTAGTAGGTGTTTTAGGTCCGGTGATAACAGGCCTGTAACAAATCATACTCAAATATAGGTTATAAACGTATGACTTCGCTCTTTTGAATACGTTTTGTGAACAGAATATTAGTAATCCCTCTGCGGAAAACCACACATTTGCAGACGCAAAAATAATCATATTGTTGATTTAAGAAAGGAAGCATGATAACCTCATTAGGTATGTTGTATTAGACTTCATTGGAGTACTTACTTTACACGTTGTGCTATATATATAAATATATAAAAACATTTTATTGTTTTAACATTGGCAAACGACTACATGAAATACACAACTTTATGGCTATACTCAAATACCATATATATATATATGTATATATATATTATGGCTGTCAGTCGATTAAAATATTTAATCGCATGGTTGTTCATAGTTAAATGACGATTAAAGGTGGGGTAGGTAAGTTTCAGAAACCGGCTCGAGTGCACTAAAATGTGAAAGTACACAGCCAAAAAGAATCCGCCCCTTCCTTCAGACTTCCTTACAGAGCACCTCCTCAGCGAGAGCAGGCTGCAGTAACGTTACATATCAGGCAAAGCTAAACACATCTAGGTTAGCAATACTACACAGCCAAAGCAACTCCGATATTGACTCTGGTTTGGCTTCTCCTAGTTTCCACTTTCTTTTTGTTCTTAATTTGCTCCGTTACATTTTTTCTTTTGCGACTAGTAGACGATGTTGAACCTAACTCTGCCATGGTGAAAGTGGCCGCCTGTTGCTGGCGAGTCATTGAAGTACTGCTGCAATGCACGCCCAATGACGGCACGCCCAATGAGGGCACGAGATACATTTGTGCGTGCACGAGATGGAAGGCTGACAGACAGGGCGCACAAGTGTGTGTGTGTGTGTGTGTGTGTGCGTGCGTAGTTTTTACAGTATTACGGCTTCCACAGATGACATTTTTTTATGGATTTTTTGTAAAAGCACTTCAGATATTCATTGCTATCGGGATGTTAAGAGCATTCCATGGAATATAACAAAAAGTGTATCTCGAGCCGGTTTCTGAAACTTACCTACCCCACCTTTAATCGNTACATTTACCTATTACGGGCGGAATAAAGTAAATACGAAAGGTTAAGGGTTGGTTGTTAATATGTATTTCCTTTACCCGGATAAACCTATTATCAAGCTTACCACTAATTACGTACTAATTAACGAAAAATTCGACACTAATTTGTAGACTAATTATTTACATTAGTAAACTGTCGGGATTATATATACATACTGATACACACACACACATATTATATATCATACACACACAGTTTCAATTGCCGTTTTTTTTAATTGCGGGTCGATTTAAAAATAATAAATTGGCGCTATTGCGTACACATAAAAAACAGGAGGGCGGGCGGCATCAAAAGTCTTCGCGTAGCTCAAATTTTATGGGTAGATGTTCGACTACGACTGTCGGGCGAGGATCGGCAGGCGAACGCCGTCTGGTGTGATAGGCGAATCGGCTGTTGACGCGGCTCGTGAACTGAAATACGTCCATCGCTTACTGTCACCCTGTAACATGCTTTTCAGTCGTGTGTACTAACGTCGCAGCACCGGTCTAGAGAGGAGTTGTTGTTTGTATGCCTCCTCCTCCTTTTTCTCTCTCTAGACGACCTGCTGACGTTAGTACACACGACTGAAAAGCAATGTTACAGGTGACAGAGCATGGTACGGGTATATTCAGTTCACGAGACGGCGTCAACAGCGATTGCATTCAACCAGAACGGCTGTTTTCGTGCCAGTTCCTGCCCCCCGACAGTCGTAGTCGGGAACATCTTACCATCAAAATTTGGCTACGCGTAGACTTGATCTGCCCCCTTCGGTCCGGTCTTATTTGACAGTATGTATGTATGTATGTTTATTATAACTAGGGCTATCAGTCGATTAAAATAGTTCATCGCAAATTCATCGCACATTTTGTATCTGTTCTAAATGTTCCTAACAGGGATATTTTTCAAGTTTTTTAATACTCTTATCAACATATGAGTGGACAAATATGCTTTATGCAAATGTTTTTTTTGTATGAATATTAAACAACTATCCTCTGATCTGTTAACGCCCTTAACTCAGGTTTGCTCCACAACATACATTTAGAAATGTAAGTCACCATTGGACAACATTTTGACATCAAAAGACAAAATCGCCATGACTTTGTGTGTTCATTACCAATATTATAAGACTAGAAGCTTCACAACATTAGGGCGCTGGGTCCCTTACAGGCTTACCAGAGACCTTGAGCCATTTTGAAATCCCCAACACAGCAAAGCCAGAGGGCGCAGGATGAGGAGAAGCCCGATAATCACACAGCCGTTAACCATAAGAGCAACAAGTCACTCTGCCCGCAACGTGCACTGACCGGGGTATTAGTCATTCTGCTAAATAACCATTAACTCACAAATAACAGGGGAAAACATTCAAATTGAAAGAGATCCGTTTCATAGAGTCGGGTCAGCTGCCGGTCGCAGTAGTTCAGCTGTGGTTTACATGAAGAGTAATAACCTGAAGCAGAGTCTGGCATCCATGTTAAAAGGGAGAGAACAGAAGAGAGCCGAGGGGGGGCAAAGTGTGACAGAGTGGAGGAGAAAGGAGCTCCAAGTAAATGATTCCTTAAAAACTTCCCCAAGCACATCAAACAGGAAGCTGAGTGTGGGGGAAAGGTTTCCTTAAGAAGGCCTGTCCGACTGTACAGGAACTGAATGACTGAACGAATGTCTAGTGGCTCTTTTCGCCCACAGGAACATTTTGAGGAACTTAAAGGTCTCCTATTATGATATTTGTAGGCATATATTATGGGTCTCAGGTATATGAAAAGATTTCTGATGTGTTTTGCTCAAAATGCCAAACAGATCGTGCATTTTAGACATCCCTCATATCGCTCTGTTCCAGCCCCGTTCGAGAAACGCTGATTTTGGGTCCTTAGCTTGAAAGAGCATAGCTTGTGGGGAAGCTTATGCCTGCTCAGAATTCTACCGGCAGATACCCTTAAATGCTGCCGTGATTAAACGCCATCATGTTCCAAACCACATCAAGGATTATTTCTGAAACAGTATGGAGCTCAAATGCTTTTTCTCTTGAAGTTTACCACAAGGCAGAGTCCTGCATCGGGTCGGGTACCGCAAAAAGAGTGATTCGCGGGTGGTATTTTTAAAAACGCTTTTTTCCGGGTTCGGTTCTGGGTAAAACAAAGATGATGCGGGTCGGGTCGCGGGTGTTGCATAATAAATATATTAAAATAATAATAATTTAGTTTAATGTTTAAATCCTCAGACCTCTCCCCCGCGGGACCGCGCATAATCATAACCTCTGCAGCGCATCAAACTGCTGCTGAGTGCGCCACATTCAAAATGGCTGAGGTGAAGCTCTCTAGCGGAGAATACAACATTTTCAATAACACTTCCTCAAGAGCGAAATCCGACGTCTGGGAGGCTTTTGGTGTCACCCTAGATGGAGAAAAGAACCAACATCCCACGCTTTTTGAGACAAATATGCAACTGCGTGTGTTAATAATTGCATGTTTTCACTGCTACGCGGGTTCGGGTCGGGTTGCGGATCTTGTGCCGACGGGTCGGGTTGCGGAACTAATTGGCAATATGTGCGGATAGCGGGGCGAGTTCGGTATTGCACGTCGCGGGTGCGGGTCTTGAAAATCAGACCCGTGCAGGACTCTGCCACAAGGTGAGTTCCTTTTTTTATTTCGTGTTTTTCTTTTACACATACTCTCTCCAGTACAGGTTAGCTCTGAGTGTTAGCGATGCTTGCTAATGTAAACAAAGACCAAATCACGTCGGGAGGCGTGTGGCGCAGTGGATAGAGCGTTGGTGTTCGGATCAAGGGAGCACAGGTTCAAACCCCACTGCAGTCAGCATGTCGTTGTGTCCCTGAGACACTTCACCCCAAATTGCTCCTGTGGGGATTGCCCACATTATTGAGTATGTACGTCGCTTTGGCTAAAAGCGTCTAACAAGTAACATGCAATGTAAAACACGTCGGGCATTGTTTCTGATAGTGCCGTGGTCCACACTGATCCAGATTTGCGTCCGATATGACATAAATCACGTCATTGTACCCCCGATTTTAGAGGTATGGGTACGGAGGAAAAGAGAGAGGGTTTTGTTTTCTGACACTTTGTTGGGAGTTCCCTGACACACCGGGGACACATTTATGTATAAAAGACATAAAAAAGTGCATTTTGCATGATGGGTCGCCTTTAATATGCGTTTTGATCGTACGCGCGGAGTTCTGGGTTTAGTCCCCGAGTCTTAGTATCTGCATCCCTAAATATTTCCTCCTACCTTTTCAGTTCCATTAGATCGGGATCTATTGGGGGTAACTTTGCCATTTAAGTGGTGCAGGAAAGAGTCTTAAAACTTGGAAATTGGTTAGCATTTTCACTTTGCTTGTTTCAAAGTCAATGCTTTTTTTTAATGCATCTTTTGGTTGGATGCTTAAAAGTTAACACAAGTTTAAGAGAGTTTCATGTTTTGTTCTATAGCATAAAATATGTCAGTAAATACCCCACTCCTGAATGTCCATAGCTTCTGAGCGTGTCTATATGAGACTACAGAACATCATTAAGTTTAGCAGCGGTGATGTAGTTTGTTTTTGGCCTCATGTTGGCTTTTACG